AATTATGATAAAATTTCAATGCATTTACGATCAATTTGATCTCAAATATTTTTCATTTTTCATTTTACTCAAAAATTACGATGGAACATTTCTGGAAACATTATTGAAATTAATTTATACCACGTTATGCAATCAAATATTAGTGAATTTTTATTATTAAGGAAATAGTAACAGCGATTTAAAAGTATAGGTTAGCCAATTATTTTAATGGTTCTGGTGGAGTAACTTCCCTTTTTTCCAAAACTCTATCAACCAAGCCAAACTCTAGAGCTTCCTCAGCAGTCATATAATAATCTCTTTCAACAGCCGTTTCTAATTAAACAAATTAAACCGTTTAATAATAATAATAATAATAATAATAATAATAGCAAATAAAAAATCATAAAATAATGAATTATTACCAATTTCTTCCATTGTATGTTTATTACAATGTTTTTTATAAATTTTATTTAATCTTTCTCTAACTCTTAATATCTCTTTAGCATGAATAGCAATATCAGTTGCTTGACCTGATGCACCGCCTATTGGTTGATGTATCATTATAGTAGAATTTGGAAGTGTATAACGTTTTCCTGGTTCACCTATATAATAATCTTACTGTAAGTAAATAAAATATCCCAATACAATACAATAACCGATGACATTACCTGCGGCCAAAAGTAATGATCCCATTGAACATGCTTGACCATTGCAAAGTGTTGATACTGGTGATTGAATGTACTATTTAATGGAACATTTTATAGAATTCGTTATAACTTTTAATGGAAGTATAGTCAACCCTTGTTAATATCAACCTCTTATTAAGAAAAAATCGGTTCAGGTTATATAAAAAAACTACCCCGTTGTTATCAACCCTCATATATCAACACAATTATCTAATCCAAATGGGTTGATATTAATGAGGGTTGACTGTATATTAAAATTAATTATACCTGCATCTATTTATTTTTTGATAAAGTCATATGAGTACACATCAAACATTACTCAATATATATATATATAATATATATTTAAAAAAAAAAGACTTACTGTATCATAAATAGCCATACCGGCGGTTACAGTACCACCAGGACTATTAATATATAAGCTAATCGGTTTTTCTGGATTTTCAGCTTCAAGAAATAGTAATTGAGCTACAACTACTGCCGCTACACTATCGTCTACCTTTAATATCAAGAATATGGGTTTTCACTCGAACAATAAATAAAGATAAAATATATATATATATATATGCATCTGATATTTTATTTACATGACCATTCAAGCATACGATCCTTTCTTTTAAAAGTCTAGAAAATATGTCATATGAACGTTCGCCTCTTGACTATTTAAATATTTGATTAAAAAAAATTGATATAAAAAAAGTTGCGGTATTAACCAAAAAAATACAAATTATTTACCGTTTGTTCAACTACAAAAGGTATTAAAGCTTGAGCTTTAAAAGGTGACGATTGTCGAGTTAAAAAGCCTCTAGTAAAGTTTCGTATGCCAAAGAACTTTTGACCAAATCTAAAAGTCATAGGAGGAATCCATGTGATTGGCTATTTAGCTAACCTTATATCTTATTGCATCATAGGGCGTTGATTGGCTGATGTAAATCAACCCTGAGATAATTTTAGGCGTAACGTTTCGTTCTAAATTTAGTCAAGAAAACAAATAAATTGAAAATATGCATAAAAAGTTTTTAAGATCAGGTTTCGAGAACCAAATAAAATAGAATTAATAAAATTCATTCCAAACTCGGGAAAGTTTGGTTTTTTTTGTTATTTCGATATACATACAATAAACTTAACATTAAACCAAAAAGTCATTTTAGCAGCATTTAACTAACGGTTTTATTGTCCGGAGCGAAGTGGAGGACACTGTGTTTTTACAACGCTGTTTGATCGATAGTGTCACGTGAGTCTGTCTGTTCGCTTCCGCTTACCTGATTGGCTACTACTCACACGTTTATTGTCGATACATGATCGTTACATTTTTTGATCGTATCGTTACATTTTTTAATCGTTGCAATACAAGAACAATTTTTATTTATACACTTTAGAATAATTAACTTTTTATTTAAGCTCCGGACTTATATCGGTTCCCGATTCCTAGTATAATAAGTTCAGGACCGCCTTGTTGAATCCTAAGATCAGGATCATAGATATCATTAGTAAAGATCATATTGAATTTGTTTCATCTTTCAGTTACACTTTCGCAACTTGTGGTTGACAAAATATATACAGTACAAAGCGATATACTAACCTAAATGAACATTCATGAGAGCTAAAGAATATAACAATGATTCCCTTTAGACTATATATATTTCCTTTACTCAAAAACGAAACTTTTTTACTCGATTAATCTTGAACGTTTTAACAAAATTATTTTGATATAAAATTTTATAACAAATTTATTATTTCTTTTTTTCATATCCTGTCAAAAAATATATCTTAAATAAAGTCACAAAATCGTCACCATAAACTAACAACTATCTACTAACGCTAATGAATTCCCGACTTTTGAGTAAAAGATAATTTATTGGCATCACAAGAAACTAATATAAAAAATAGAGTAAATACATTGTTATTAATGGTACAGTAGATAATCATTAACGGTGTATAAATTGAAATTCAATAGATAAATCATCATAGTGATTAGTAAGAAAATTCATGCAATACATAATCAAGTTTCAAGAATGTCCATGGAATTATTTCTCAGAATAAAATAATTTGCTTCATTTATTTCAAGTTGTTTTCAATTATAACTCGTTTACTATTTTCCATAAAATATAATCCAAAATAATAAACTTACGAAAAAAAAAATGAGAATTTCACAGTCTTTGTTAAATGTTTCATTTGGATATTTGTTAGTTTGTATCCCATCACTATTTGCATCTGACAATAGTTGGTTCAACTTACCAAGCTTTTTAAAATTTAATGGAATTGGATCTGGAAATGTTAAATTGGATGAGACATTCCCCAGATTAGAAGATAGTGATTTATCTGGTAATTTCCATATTTTTTTGGGTTAAAAAAATTTTTTAAGTCATTAAAAGTCTATATTCTTTACGTCATTTTATTTAATAAAGCTTGGGAAGAAAATTTCTTGAAATTATCAAATGAAGAAAAAATGATTGTTGAACGTGGACATGGTATAATTTCATATAATTTATATACAATTCCTCGTATAGATCTGATTTTTCGTGTTCTTAATATTAAAGTTAATAAATTTGTTTTTTTTAAAAAAAAAAAGCTGCATTAATTCAATTTGAAAAAAAGCAAAATTGTTTTAAGGATGCTGCCTTAACATTAAAACATGGTTGTAGAAATATTGATATTTCTGATAATGATAAAATAAAATGTAAGTAGCTTCCTTTCCTAGATCATAAGAGATTCTTATTAGAATTAAAAAAAATTCTAATTTTGAAATTAGACGCGGTACGATTGACAATGTGCGAAATCGCAACGGCCAATCTCGTTGCTCCAATGGAATGTAATGATATTCAAGACGTTGGAACTTGTGTAGAGTATGTTTCGTGAATATTCATTATGAATAAATATTTGTAAAATTAATATGTACTGTATGAATGTAATTTATAGAGCTCTGGCACGAATTCCTCAACTATGGACATCATATTCTGGATATTTTCGAGAAGTTTGTATGTATAACAACAAATCTTTCGAAATATTAAATATTTAAAAGATTAATCCTAATTTATAAATAGTTCACATGTGTTTCGCAGTACGATACTCGCTTGAGAGAGGTAATTTTTTCAATCCTGTATTATATGCTTAGCATATGCATTAAATTAATCTTGTTTTACCCTCCGCTTTATTAGATTTACTCGAAGAACTTCATAGAAATATTACACAAAACCAACTAATAAATTATAGCATTCTGCGCGTTCAACAAAGTGACATGATTTCTTGGCGGAAAGAAGAAATGGCAAGATTAATTCAACTTGAAAAATCTCAATCGATGATCTTAAACAGTGTTAACGTGATTGAGGTGATATGTTTTTTCATTCAAGAATATCAAATATTTTATGAATCTTGAATTAAATTCAATATTCAATTGATAGAAAATTACATCGTTAGCCTCGGTAAACATGGTATCACTTAAAGATAATTTGTCAGACTCACAGGAAATTGTGCAAGGTACATTGAATCAGTTGTCTCAACTTAGAAAGGTATGCCTAAGTTAATAAAAAAAAAGAAATTAAAGCTTGGTAAACGAACGTTAGTTGGTTAATATAAAATGATAATTTAGGAACTTGAAGTATATCGATCAAAGACTAGTGAAACTTTTGAAGAAATTAACAGTGCAACAGATCAGCAGTTGATGTCTCTCAAACGAACAATGGTATAAGAATGTATGTTCTTTAGTGTTATTTTTTTATTTTTTTTTTTTACTCTAAATCGTTAAAACATATGCTTATAAAGGAATACGTAGAAAACATCGCCAAAATAAATATTAAGATTTCGGAAGTAAGTTTAAAACAAGTTTTTTAAAGAAATCAAGAGGTTATACTGTATAAACGAACTTTTTATTTCTTATAGAATTTACAAAAAATTGACGCTGCGCTTCACAACACATTAACGGCTCAAGAAAAAGTTTATAATATTATAGAAGAATATAAGGTAAAATGAAATCTTAGTTATTTTTATACTTTTATCCATTTTATGCTTCATTTGCATAAAACTTATTCGGTTCTTGTTAAACACCATACTGCGGTTTTTTTTTAATATCAGGACCAACATCAAGATTTAGCAAACCAGTGGCAAAATTCCTTATTAGAAGCAAAACAAAATTTGCAAGTGTTATTAAATATCTCTCAGTCTGAAATTCAATTACTTGCAAAGACTGCAAGTGATGCGCGTGAGAGTCAAGAAAGCATTATTAAGGTTTTAAGGCCTCTAGGTGTTCTTGTTGAATTTATTAGTTGGATATATGGTAAGTTTAGTAAAATCATTTTGAAAATTTTTCTAGTCTAACATTTTGTTTGGTTATAATTTCAGATATCACTTCTATTAAAAATAGTGTAAAATATATAATGCCATGGTTGGCTATTCCATTTATTCGATTTCTCGTATCGTGGATGAGGTTTGGTAGAATTATGTCAATTGTTGGTATGCCTATATTTCAATTTTTATCATGTATTTTATCAAAAAATTATCATTTACGTATTAACATATAAAATTATTATTGTAAGTTACGGTTTTTAATTTTCTTTTAATATTCCTTTTCAACATGAATAACACCCAATTTCAAAACACACATGTTCATATCGGAGTTTTTGCAATGGTAATAACTTAATTATCAATCTAAAAATACCAATTACAACTCAACATGGAAATATACTAAATTTAAATATTTATGACTGAATAGATGAATTTAGCAATTCTTATTATCACATTCATCCGAAATCGGTTGAATATTGTACAGAGTTCAATACCTCAACTTTCCGCTAATTTACCCATATTGGATTCAAGATCACATCCAGACATCAGGTTCAGTTTTTTTCTATTTATTCATTATTTTCAACTAATTTTTTGTCACACTCTACATCTTAATTTTATTTTAAAACATAAAAAAATAGAGTATCACTTCCGAGAACATCATCAGATTTTTATCTTGCAGAGCCCGATTTTGGTGGGCATAGTTTTAATAACTTAAGTGGAAGTTTTTGTAGTAATGGTAGTAGTGTGATATATGAATTAAGTCAGGGTTCAGGTGGAAGATTTCCTAGCAAAAGAACGAGAAGATCCGGAAGAAATTATTTTCCCTAATTTCTTTTCATTTTTAAAAATACATTGAAAAAGTTTTGAGATTTGAAACTCCGACTCTGTTGTTTATACTTAGTACGTAATGTTTAAATGTGTTAAGGTCATTTTGACATACGTACGTTGCACGTGTGCACAGTATGCGGGGGCTCTAAATATATTTGTCATATTAGGCTAATGAATACTCTAGAAAAAAATAAGATTTAGCCTTTAGTTATACAAATAAATGTCAAACTCTGTTTCATGTGGAACCAACTAAATCTGATTTTAGTATATCGATACTGAATAAATTTGTAGAAGTGATTTTCCTTTATTTTTGGGGATTTCCTCCTTCTTTTCGTAATAAACATATCTTTGAAAATTTGACTGCCAAGATATTACTTTTAAGAATAAAAGAATTAACACTATGTCGGAGAAAAACTGGTAACCTGTTTTTTTTTTTTATTTTTATAACACATTATTGCTGATTAAAATTAAATAACGATAAGAGCTAAATGTAATTCCGATAATTGAAACTTGTTAGGCCACCATGTTATCCGGTTGTTTATCATAATATTCAGGAAGATATTATTGATTCTGATTCTCGTGATACCGTTCAAAAATCTTACAAGTTATTTCTCGGTATTTATATCATAATTTTAAATATGTTAATTTGCTTTTTTTTTTCATTTCAACCAATTAACTACAAATATCTAAATTTTTTTTCTGTGAATACAGTTTATTTTCTCACTTTAATATTCAACTTTATAGCGATCTTAGTTACTGGTTTCACTGGTCGTTATCCATTGTAAGCAATATTACAGGTTAATTTTGATTTGAATGTAATTTTACCTTTAACTCTTACGTTTATTTATTATTCATAGTTTCCAAGTCTTTGGTCAACTTCTACTTGCTCTTATTTACGTTGCAATATGGCCATTATTCGATTTCTTTGCTAGACATCTCACTTTGTATAGAGGTTACAAGTAATTAATCTTATCATCTATTGTTTTTCTTACGAGATACAAATAACTTTGTTTTACCATATTAAAATATAAACGTTACTCATCACAGACACGATAATGTAAGCTATTTCCGATGGTTTTTCCTTATAACACTTATTGACATCATTTTTGGTGTATTCATCGGTATTGGTTGGGTTTTTGGAGGTGGTGGTGGATTAATTGAGATGGTCTATAACTTCAATCTGATCAAGGAAAAAGGAGCTATTGTCATTGTCGCTGGTGTTTTTAACGCTGTTTGTGCTACGTTAGTGTTTGCGCAAGTTGTTTTACATATTATGTTGTGGCGCAGGGTAATTTCCAGAACTATTTTCATGTTGTTTTTTGGATATTATGACGTTAAATATTCACTTTTCTATTTTCTATTTTTTTTTTTTTTTTTTAATAATACAGGTACAAGCTTACTTCGATTCTAAAGGTTGGAAATTCTTCCCTTCAAATTCAAAGTGATTTTTTTTTCTTAGAAGAAACTATATTTCATGATTTATGTAGTATATTTCGAAATTATTATTATTATTTTAAAACTATATTTCATGTAGTATATTTCGAAATTTTCGAAATTATTGTTGTTATTTTATACCAATATGTTTATGCACTATGTTTGTTATCGAAAAACATTTAAATAAATACAAATATCCAAACAAAAATGTTTTGATACACTATCTATTAATAAATTATAGTCAACTCACAGAGTAGAAAATTGTAACACTTGTCTTTAAGATGTAAATAAAGTCGATCGTTAAATTGATTTGTGAAATTGTTAGACTCAACATTCGAATATTTCCTATAAAATTTTCCTTGTCCTCCATAATCAGATAACAAGGTTTCTTTTTTGTGGAAGACAAAATAACAAAAAAATCTGATAGAATTTTTTATAGCCTAAAAATCCACTATATTATTATTTCAAGAGTGTTTAAAATGAGTTTTTGAAATTCTTAACAAAGGATACGTTTTTTTTATTATTGATTTTATTATTATTATACTAAATATCCTGAAACTAAATATTGTGAGGATCACGTTAAATCAAGTTTGAAACATTTATCAATCTGGCATTAAAATAATCTATTAAATTTCATGAGTATTTTGTTATTTATTTCACTTTATTCATGTTAATTTAATGTGTATGTGTGGTTGTTTCATAAATTATGTCGTGACCCAATTATTTCGATGTTTTATTTATTCCTTCAAAATACTCTCCGTTACAATGTTTGAGTCGGATTTACCAATTCTGAAAACATTTTGAAAACATTTCTCTGATTTGCAAGAATTTTATCCCGTTCAAAATGCCGACTAGTCAATTCCTTTTTAGTTTGAAAAAAAATTACATTGTGCCAGGTTCGGGGATGCGGAAGCAAATTAATATATTCTTAATTTTTTAACGACAATAGCAGTGTATAAAGATTGGTTTGTCTTTTTTTTTAAAGTTATCAAAAATTTTAGATAATACATGTTAATTTAATACTTAGAGTTATCATAGCACGTTTTATCATTGCACATTTTTTTTTAAACTTAATTAACTCTAAAACCTAGCCTCACCTCACCCGGTTACCCAAATGGCACCTAAGTGCGATCGCTGTACTGCCCTACAATGCTATGACCGTGGCCAACACTTGCAGTCAGGGCGTTACATTAAACCATTTGGGCAGTAAAGCAGATGTGCCCAGGAACTTGATGGATATTTATATATTTCACCTACATGTTACTCAGGATTTGTTTTTTATTTACAATTGAGAGAAATTATATTATTTGAATTCCATGTCCAAGAGATACTAAGACTAGAGACTCAGACAGAGCCCACAAAATTTTAACTAAACAAAAGTTAAAGGAGTTATCTGCGACCTAAAACTACCAGGGTGGCTATGGCTCATCTAATTTCTGAGTTAGTAATTAAACTGTGAAGGTTATATTGATATTTAATCTACTTGAGATATTATAGTTCAAGTTTAGTACTTGCAATAGGGGAAGGTGCCAGTTAGGTTGATAAAATATATGGTACTGGAGTAGTAGATGGAGTATGAGTTGGTAGACTAGCTTTTGCTTTAGCAGTATAATAAGATATTCAACAGTTATTGTAGATTTGTTAATTTAAATACAATAAAAGTTTAATACCAAGTTAAGTAGAAGTTTTATTTGATGAAGTAGTGTTTGTAAGTAGATCAATAAGTTCTTAAGAAATAAAATCTGTTATTGTTGATAATAATAATGGCATATTTGGTATATTGTATTTGCATATTGTTAGTTTTTTGATTTGAGTATGTAGAGTAGTTATTAATTTAGTTGATATTTCAAGAGTTGATAATTTAATTATATATTGAAGTAATTTATAAATAAGATTTTCTAAGTGTTAAAAGTTTGGATATACTATATTATTTAGTGAAATACTATACTGATCTAATTATATTTATAGCAGCATAGTAAATAGAATAGATAATACTTATACAAAATACTGTATATAGAGTAAGTAATTTATTAATGTAATATTTTAATTCTAAAAGATTTGATAGTAGAGAATTAAAAACTATATAAATAGTTTGATATTTTTTAATTGTTATTAATATATAATTAAGTAGCATTCTAGTTAATATATGATACTATTAAAGTTTGTTATTAAAAACAGTTTTGTGATAATTAAAATATATAAATTTATACATAGCAAATTGTACAAATATAATATCTTTAATTGGTAGTTTTACTAAAAAAACTATCAAATTAAAAAATATAATTTAGATTATATATATTTTAGTAATTAAATTTTAGAAATAGTGTATTAGAGTGATTTTGAGCAAGCCAATTTGCAAGATTGTTAAATTTATTATTCTAATATATAATAACTTTGTAAAAGTTAACTTGTAGTTTATATAAAGTTAATTAAAATATACTATAATAAATAGTATAGAATATTAGTAAATTGTAGACTTAAAAAACCAACTTGTCCTAATGATTACTTGTATCAACTATTACCAAAAGCAAGTTGAAGACTCATAGTCAGAAGTTAATAATAACTTGAAGTTTTCTTGATATAAACTATTGTTAATAAAGTTTCTAAATATAATATACTGAGAAGCGAACATTTGGATAGTTTGTAAAGAGGTCAAATCTTTTTTCATTTTTTTCTTGGGTAAACTCTCTTTTGTATTCGGGTATCCAAACTAAAGAAGTCTCTGAAAACAGTAAATAGAAAAGAAAGCTCAAGAAGTTTGGAGATGAAAGAACAAAACAAACTCTTAAATAAATTCTTATTGATTAGAAACTTACAAGATCATAACTCTCTTTGTTACTTTGATATTCTCAAAACTAATTTTTAACAAAAAGTAAAAGATTTGGTTACCTTATCAAAAGATCAGTATTGTTTACTACTTTCATATTTAAAGCTTTATAATATGACAACAACAAACACATAGCAATATAAAAAGTTTATTTTTTATTTAAAAATATTGCTCTGTATATTAAAAATTTAAATAGTATTAAGAATTTATATACCTAATAGATAATATAATATAGTGAAAACATATAAAGTCAATAATTTGTTATACTTTTAAATAAAATATAAATTTAAAGTTAGAGTAATAAAGAGAATTTAAGATATATAGTTTAATGACAAAAATTATATGTATATAATTTTTATACTTTTATATAGTTCAAAGTATATTTATTTTAGTTTTCTTATATATTATCTGAGTTCTATATAAATACTACAATTATGTAAATAAGTATCTTGGATAGCAAATATCAATTTGTTAAATAGGTTCTTTAATTTTATATTTATATTTTAGATTTTTTTGTTAATCTAATCATTTTTTTATTTGTTTTATTTTAAACTATCTTTCTTTTTATATTTCCTTTTACTCAATTTTACTCTTTAAAATTTTGCTAAAAAATATTATTTTAGATTGGTGATATATTATATAGAGTAATAATCTTGACAAGATTAGTAGCTGCCTATTATAGACTCTTGAAGTTTAAATCCTTAGTAAGTTATAGATTTTAAATAAGATAAATAGACTATTTAGACAAATCATATTTAGGTTTTCTTTATAGAACCTATTTTAGATTCTTGTTTTAATAGCCAAGTAATTTTTATTAGTACAAGCATATATAGTTTATAATGTAGATTAGCCTCTAATTCTACAATTATATATTTGTTATATTCTATGCTAATTTAAATAATAAAAAAAAGATTACTAAAGCAAAAAAAAATAAATTATAAACTGAATAAAAATTAATTAGTATTATTATATTTAAAAATAACTAATTGTGAATCTATATAGATATATATTATATACTGTATATTGCTAAAAATAAGCCACCTTTGATAATAAGCTATCTTTCTTTTTTGAAAAAAAATATAAAAACATCTTATACCTGAAAACAAGCTACTTAATGATTATTAGTAGTTACTCTATAGTAAAGTTAAAATTTTACTAAATAAATCAATATAGCTTATTAAGTAAAAGTTGTTCAGAAGATCGAAATATATATATTTTAAAAGTTTTATTCAAATTGGATAACTTTTTATTAATACATTTTTGCATATTATGGTTGACAAATTTTTTAAAATTTCTTTAATATTTTTTAAAATTCATATATATTAAAGTTATCTGATTTACATGAAACTTTTAAAATATATGTATTTTAATCTCTTGAATATTTTCAATTAATAAGCATGATCAATTTGCTTAATAAAAATTTTTTAAAATTAGCAAAAAACACTTTTATCCAATAATAAACTACTCGCAAATTTTTTGTATAACTTTTTAGCCAAAAATGGTAGCCTATTTTTGGACATATACAGTAGTTTTTGATATAGTAATAAAAGCAAAAAATATAATAAAAAGTTTAATTTTAAATAAATATAACTATAGCTTGATCTGTACTAGAGTGGACTGAAAAATGTGATGTGCACATATGTGCATATGTGTATATTTTTTTCATAGATCATATGTGCACATATGTATATTAAATATATGGTCACTTCTGTACATATAATGAACGTCTTTATAACAAACTATAAAGGTTTAAATTTCGTATAAATTTTGTGTGGTAAATATAAACTCGGTAATAAACTTTTTTTTTAAAATATCTGATATATTATAAAGAAGACGTATTTTCGAAGAAATTATAAATTCGAATATAAGTTGGATTCTTAGATATTTTGAAAATATCATAATTATTTAAATGAAAGAACAAATTTATATTCTAAAATTTATATGACTTTGACTTTATATAGATTTACGTTGAGAGTATGTCAGATTGCCTAGACGTCAAAAGTGTATAAAGATTATATACTTTTACGTCAAAATTATGTCAAAATCAAAATGCAGTATGAAATATATATATCGGTATATTTATTTATTTACTTTTTTTTTTGTTTTTTGAAACGAAAGTATTAATTAGGTCATCGTTACTGAAAATGTAAATTTTTACAAGTTAATAACCCAAACTCACTTCGC